GGCCTTTGAGCCTGGACACAAGTATTTTTATTTTGCTTGGGTCATGGTCTATAAAGGTCATGTTTGCATTTTCACAGTTGGAGGATTCCTATGTGCGGGGGACTGATGCAGGCCTTCTGAAGGGAAGCACCCAACTTATTCTCTGCCCACAAAGGGCCTGGTCCATAAATGTGCAAAACAGAAACATATAGGGGCAATTGCATGAGCCCTACCATACATGTGCCTACTTTTTTTTTTTTTTCATATGGATGGGTTTGCCAGGACACCAAGTCAGCGTATATACTGGATTCAAAGAAACGTGCATCATCTTTGCTTGGCAACAGACCTGGGAAATCAGTTTACTAAGAAACAGTGTATTTTGCCTTAAAAAGAGTGGCTTACTTCAGTCATAGCCATACAGAAAGTGGTGATTAAAGAAACAAGTTTCTTTAAAGATTACATACGCCAAGGGACTCAAATAGCTGCACAGTACAGGACAGGTTTGTGTTTTAATACTTTGATACACGATATGGCACCACAGTAATCCATTAAACATGATGGTATGGAGTCTTGACACTAAAGTTCACTTGTTTTCTTTTGCTGGACACACTGAAAGAAAATACTGAGGTCTTCTGAAAAAAACATGACTAGATCATACAGAATGAGAAATAATGCTGGCAATTATTGTTGCATTTGTTACAAAGCAGGGATCAGGTTTTGGCCAAAGCCAGCCTTTTGCATTCACTTGAATAGTCGGTGGTGTTAGTACAGCATAAACTGAACAGGATTTGGCTCTGGCATTCAAGCACAAGCTCTTCTTTCACAACCACCCCCTTCTGTTTCTGCCTTTTCCTTGTGAGCAGCAAATCTTTCTGGGCATTTTATTCTACTCTCCCAAATGTTGTCAGAACGTGCCAAGTACAAGGCTACAGTTTCTTTTTGTAGTGCAGGAGTTTAGCAGTGAAAGTTTCTATATGTTTATGGAAACACAGATGCAGCTTTTAAAATACTGGGTGGTGCTTGCATAAAGATCCATCTGAAAAAAAATGTTTATTTTTCTGTACATTATTTCATCTCCAGTTAAGTGCTGGTTGGAAATCCTTAAGCTTCTGTAGTAGAATATTTCATTCAGGATGAAATGTGAGAATTACAGGCTTGATTCTGCCACTGCTGAAGCCAGTGGCTAAATGCCCAATTGTCTTCAATTGGAGGAGGATCGAATCTTCTCCAAATGAAGAGTCTTCTCCTTTGCTGAAGGATATCTTGAACAGTCAGTAATCCTTAATCTCTGATTTAAAGCACTTCCATTTGGTAAAGTTTTAGTTCTCTTTCAAGCCTGGAGCCATTTGGCTGAAATTGCATTTGATATACTTTCTGGAAGTCTGTTTTCTGAGTATACTTAGGAGTCTGTTTCCATATTCTTAAATAGAAAAAAATACATTTATTGCAGCCACATCTCCAGATTGTTGGTCTGTCATGTTTGAAAACAAAAAAGGTATATGTGACAAGATGCTTTATGTATGAAGTGGACTGACTCTCCCTTAGTCCTATCAGGTGTGTTTGAGGTATATATGTAAAAGGCCTGAAATTCTTGGAAAATAATGTTTTTAGCATTTGAGGTATGATTTTTTTTTTTTTTTTTAATTTTTATTTTTTAAAGAGACAACATGAATTATCAGCTCGTAAAGACTGTGTTTCTTAGCTTGGGTTTCTTAGATTAGCTTGAGCTCTGAGCAGGTGTTAAAGGCATACTATTTATGTATTGTGACATAAAAAGTGAACCTTGACTCTTTCTGGAGGTTCACAATGTAAAACATAATAAATTGGTCATAGGATCTTTTAAAAATGTCATAAAAAGAAAAAAATCTTATGGAAATTCAGACTTTTATCATCTACTTAGTTTTCCTCTTCAAGGTTTTTACTGCAGCCAAGAGGAAACACATTTACTTTTCAATAAAGAAGGGTTTGGAATTCTCATAAGAACTTCAGAAGTCAGACAGTTATAAGTAGAAGATTAAGTATCACAGGATTTGCAGTAAAATCATGAGGGATGAGACTAGTATATATATTCAGCAGTGGTCTGCAAAACCTGAAGACCTTTACCTCAGAAAATGTGTATATCTGGGTCTTGATTTAGCTGCTGATTGTGAAATAGTTGTTCCTATTAATTTCCAGTAATAGTCTTATGGTGTTCCGGGGCAGAATTTAGCTCTGCAAGTTCAGCTTGAAATGGTGATAACCAAAAAATTACTGGGAGAACAGTAAATAATAGCATGGTGTATTATTTCATGTAATATAATGTAGGCTAAGTCCTGAACTCTTTGCTGGAGCCTTACACAGGTAAATTGCTGTTGAAATGAAGGTTCATTTCTCTCCCTTCCTTCTGACCCTTTGCTTTACCTTTCTTTTTTCATAGACTGTGCCTGAAGCCCAACACAGATATGTTGAGTCTAGAGGTAGGCAATCACCTGTTTTCCAGAGGATGTCTTCTTCCTCAGGCTCCTCAAAGTGTCCTATGGAGACTGTAAAACTGTGTGTAGAGGTGAACAGACGCTGCAGATAGGGAACTGTTGTTAGACCTATCACACAGCCCCCTAAAGACCTGGTAGAAAATGTAAAGTTCTGCTTTTGCTTTTCACAGAATCCCTGGAAGAGATCATTGTAGTGTCATGGAAGTACTAGTATAACATCTCTGTGAAGAAGTGTCAGAACTAGGGCTGATGGAGTTACCGACAGAAAGCTTTTGCACAGCTCTTGTTCTAGCAGAGATCTGGGGGG